ATGAGAATAAGAATGTCTTGGTCACCCTGGCAGGATTCTTGGCTGTTACATGGAGGAAGACCAGGTTGTCCTCTTGTTCATCTCAAACTGCAGAGCATGGGATAATGGACTTAAGTAACAGGAAGCCAGATTCTGGCTGAACGTCAGGAAAAACTGCACTTCTTATTCAAATGCTCATGTATGTCACACTTGCTTTGATATGCCTTTTTGCTATTCATGCATACATAGTTCACTTTGTTTCCTGACATCATTTGGATATATCATGGAAATGCTGACATCAAAACTAGTTTCAGAGAAGTAAATGCAAAATCAATTTCTATACAAAGCATTGTAAGCCAGCTTTTAACATTTTTATTTGGAAACTGTTTATAGGTTATATTAAACTGGTTTGAAGACAAATTTGAAAAGTTAAAAAAGTCTACTATTAAAAAGTTACATTAAAAATCACTGACAACCAAGTTCTCTCAACTAAATGGACAATAATATTCAAAACACTTGTATAATAAATGAATGGTTTCTCTTTTTTTATCCAAAATTGATATTTGTTACAGCAAATGCCATACACAAACCAATCAATATTGCTATAAAAATGATGAAGGAAACTCTGTGAACACAATCTAGACATTTTTGAGAAAATCAACTTGTTCATACATGGCAAAATTTACCACAGTAGGAAGTTGGCATGATTGATGTAGTTACCACTACTAAGTGTTTGCATTACACTACATTACACAGAAGCAACCTTGATCCTGGATTCAGACAAGACAACAAGCCATGGTTGTACATAGAAACCATAGAACAAACCATTATCTCTTATGTTTCTAAAGACCAAAATCAACCATAGTGAAATACCACAACTAGGTTCAGGTAACACAGCTGACCAACAGTGGAAAGAAGACCATTATGCATGTTTTTTTTTGTCTGACCCCAGCCAGTGTGCACACAACTCTGCCACATGTCCTTCAACCAAGCAGACCAGGTGGGAATTACAGCCATCTGCTCGAAGCTTATTCTCACGTTCCATATATTTATAGAAAAGCACTTGAAAGCCACAGGCCATTGAAGTAGATACCATTTATTTGCCAGAAAAAAGAAAAACACTAACAATTAAAGAAAGAATATAACAAAACAAAGCAACAGAAAGGAAGAAGACTAAAGCAATACAACAGTAGAACAAGCTTGGTTCAATCAAGCTTGATTTAATGCACAAAGTCTTTCAGTGCTGCAACAGTCAACCAGAAACTGTGGGAAAAGGCAGGAGTATCACACTTTCCACCTAACAGCAAGTGCAGGAGGTAGGGAAGGAGGAAGGGAGGCCACACATTCCACCTAACAGTCTCAGCTCTAGAATGTTAGGCACATCATAGAACCCAAGTATGTGATTCAAGAAAATACAAAGAAGAAAATGAAAATGAAAAAAAAGAAAGAGAGAAAGTGCATGAGAATAAGCATGAAAATAAAACATGATGCCTAGGAGTTTGATGAAGGTCTTAACTAGGCACCAGAACTGATTTCAAAGCAAGCCTCATTTATCATTGCATAACCATGAGGCTACCACTGAGGAGTCTCTTTCCTTCTTTCCACTCTCAAGCCTCCCTTGGTGGCGCTCAGATTATGAGCATTGTATACCAATATAATACAATACAGCAATTAATGAAGAATCAGATTAAGTGTAAGGTTTTCTGGATCCTTAAACACCATCCCAGAAACCAAAAATGACCCCAGAGAATTCATATTTCAAGGCAATATCCTCATTCTCCACCCAAAGGCAACTTTCACAGTGATAATGAACTCTCATAATAAGCAAAGAAGCAAACAAATATATAAGCCTCCCCACCACCCCAAAAAAAGGATTTTAGAAGGGGATTATTTTAGAAGGGGATGTCAGACAATAATTTATGCAGTTTGCACTTCCTGAATTTGAACCAGAATACAATCTTCAAGCAAAGTCTACATTTCCAAGTTTGCTGTGCAATTCACAGTCCAAAGAAAAATGTGCTTTAAAAGGTATGCATTTGGAACATACACATTAGAAATGTGTGCCTTTGAAAATGTTGGTACCTAAGCAGGAATATTCTTGACTTGGTCTTGTCCAACAGAGAGGAACTGATAGATGGGGTGCAGATTAGGGGCGCTCTGGATGCAAGTGATCACTCCATCCTTTGCTTTGAGATTAGGGGAATGGGGATGAATGACATGTTGAGTATTAGAAGCTGGGATTTTATGAGGACCAGCTGTGGTCAACTGAAGGCCAGACTGGAGGAAGTCTCCTGGGAGAGTGTACTGGAAGGCAAGGGAGTTCAGGAAGGGTGGATGGTGCTAAAAAAGGGAGTTCTTTGAGGTGCAAGCATGGAGGATATTGATGGTTAGCAAGGTGGGGAGGTGAAGGAGAATGTCACTGGATGAGAAGTGGTAAGAGGCATTAGGCATAAGTGGAACCTCTGTAGAAAATGGACACTGGGGCAAGTAGACAAAAGAGTATACTGGGAGGAGGAGACTTGTTGCAGAAGGATTCTTCTCGGGGCTAAGGCTGAGTTTGAGCTGAGACTTGTAAAGAACAGCAGGCGCAATAAAAAGGACTTATATCAACATGTAAATAGCAAGATGGGGAGACAGGTGGTGGGACCACTTAATGAGGAGGAAGAGAATTTGGTGACTGATGTGACAGACAGAGATGTTAAATGATTATTTTGCCTCTGTGTTCTCCCCAAAGAGGATGGGGGAGATCTGCATGGGGGAATCAGATGAGGCTGGGGATTTAGGGGCTCAGATTAGAGTCACCCTCCCAGAAGTCAAGGAGCTCCTTAGGGCAGTGGACATTACAAAGGCAGCAGACACCTGAGGGTACTTAGGAGTTGGTACATAGGGGAATACTCTCATGCCTGCTGGCCTCCATTTCTGAGGCCTTGTGGAAAATAGGTGAGGTTCCAGAGGACTGGATAAAGACATCAGTGGTCCCAGTCGTCAACACCACTCATCACAGACCACGATACCAATGATTTCCCACTAATAGTTACCCTCTGCTTTCGGTCCGTCAACCATTAGTGGAGAATCATTGGGATTCTGGTCTGTGATTAGTGGGATCCCTCAGGGCTCTGTCCTGGACCCGATTCTGTTCAATCTTTTAATCAATGACCTGGAAGAGGGAGTGACAAGTCTGCTGATCAAATTCACAGAGGATACTAAAATGGGTGTGGTGGCCACAACTGAGGAGCAGGTATTCCATATCCAAAAGGACCTGGGCAGACTATTGAATTGGGCAGGGGACTTGCACTTAAGTACAGGTTAGGGGACAAGTAGCAGCACTTGTGAAAGGGATCTCAGGGTGCTGGTTGACTGCAGGCTAAACATGAGTCAGCAGTGTGATGCTGCAATCAGAGGATGAACGCCATCCTTGGTTGCATAGTCAGAAGCGTGGCTTTTAGACTGAGAGAGGTGCCACTCTATACGACTCTGGTACATCTGCTGCTGGAGTACTATGTTCAATTCTGGGTCCCTCATTACAAAAGGGATACAGCAAGGTCGGAATCATTGCATTGAAGGGCCACAAGCATGGTGACTGGTTTGCAGGGTAAGCGATATGAGCAGAGACTAAGTGAACTTGGGTCTTTTCAGCCTTGAGGAGACTCAGAAGGGACCTGTTAGCTACACATAGGTGCACTATGTTAGCAACATACAGGTACATGAGGGGGTGCATCGCAGAGGTGGGTCATGACGTTTTCCCCCTGCAGCTGAGGGCAGGGCACATTCCAATGGAGCAAAGCTCAGGGAAGCAAGATTCAAGATGGATGCCAGGAAGTACTTCCTGATGGTTATGACCCCTAGGGTATGGAATTGGCTTCCATGGGATAGGCTGGACATGCATATGGTGGGCATGTCATGAGCGAAGCCGGCTGGAGCCAGGGGTCAGACTAGATGGCCCAGGAGGTCTCTTCTGACTCACTCTGTTTCTATGTTTCTAAGTCTTCACCCATGACTAGTCACCATACACTTCTCTCATCCAAAGCATTACTGTATGACATTCCTGTTTTGTGTATCCATACTTCTGCTACAGCACGTCCTTATTCAAATATAGCAACAATATGGATCTATTTCAGTTCATATACTACATTTTATGGCATTGAGTTGTGTGAGTTTTGGTTGCATTCCCATTTTTGTCAGTTGAAAGAAATAGTAAGGTTTTGGCTTTATCTACTGATACACTGTTTTTCAGTGTCTGTCTTCTAGCTGCCTCAGCAAAAACTAAAAATTAAAAATGAATGTAAAATGACTTTTTCAGCATAATATCTTTCAGAAATGATTCATTCTGGACTAAATTATGTTCTTCTCTTCACTTGTGAAACTGCCCAGAATTCAAGAACTTCTGCCTTTTTTACCTTTCCTGACAGTATCATTTTTTCAGTTGGATAGAATTCCAGGATATAATTTATTTTCTTTTGCATATGCCCAAAGAATGCTTTATCTACCTACTCCAGTAGATTTGCTAGGGTAAATTAAATATTACTGGCATTTGAATCTTTTATTATGTCTGTGTAGGTGCTAAAACTATTATATTTCTCATTGTATGAATAATGTAATGTATCTTTTTTCATCAAATCATAATCTTTCAGTTAAGTCTTTACAACACAATCAGTTCATATCTTCTTAGAAGTCCTATGGAGTTTACTGGAACTTAAATATTTCGATATCTACAAATCGTATGCACTCATAGACACACAGACTCACACGTATATGATTTGACTTTTCCAAATTTGATGTGAATCAAACTGGAATTGAAATGGGTTTAAATGGCATCATTGCCAGTGTTCTATTGACTAGATAATAAAAACCATTCAAATGCTTCTGTGTAGAGAATGGTATTTAAGGCTGTGGAAAGAATAAATTAACAGGTACAGAGCACAAGAGAAATAGCTGTGCCTTGCATTCTAATAGAGTGGAGCATTGAACAAAATGTACTTTTTCACAATGTTTAGAAGATGATAGAATGAAATACAACTCACATTCAATATCAAGGTACATGCTCTTTTGGTGCCCACCAATTCTACTTGCAGCTTCACAGTCATATCTTCCTGAATCTGACAATTTCACATCCTTTATGTGCAGTGTTGACCTTCCATGCTGCCCTTTGACTTCTATACGACCATCTGGACTCTGTTTGTAGACATTTGAGGAAAGGAGAATTTTGATTTATTTTGTTTTAATTCTTTTTGTAGAAAATTCTAATTGAATCTGAATGCAAGGTACCTGTTTTGAAAGCATTATTTAATTTTAAAGCATATTAGGCCAATTGGTAAAGCATAGTCAATTTTTCCTTTAAGAGTAATTTAATATAAGTATTAATAACATTATATTAAATAAATTTGAAACCAAGATATGTAAAATTAGAATAAAAAGACCATTCCTCTAACATAAAGTAACATGTCATAAATACATTAGGAAATTACAATAAAAAACTTGTAGCATTCTTTACATTCATATACGATCATCAGGTTATGTTGATGATGCTCATGAAAAAACATATATACCAAGAGCCAGTTCTAAAGCCCATGGAAAGTCCAATAGCACTACAAAAACTAGAGCAAGCATAAGCAATGGGGCCCTCCATTTTAAAATATTTATTTATTTGTTTGTTTAGAGGTGGAGGGGGAGCTACAATTCCTATCAGGCCTAAAAAGCAAAACCAATAATGAGGGATCATGGAAGCTGTAGGCCTGCCTGGAAGACCATAAGTTGCTCAGTCCTGATCTAGATTTTATGGAATTGTTGGAATGGGACTTAAAAATCCAATGGAAGAAAGCATAGGGAATACACAAACATTTCCTTTTATCTTACAAATAATAGGTATTGTAATCAGCAATGAATAAAATCTAGAAAATGGCACACTGAAACTGTGTCATTAAGCACTTAAGCCAGGCTTATTTCAACTGCATTTACACATGCCTCTTTCTTCTGCACTGTATATAGTGGACAATTTATATCTGTGGTGAAATGTGGTATACAGGCATTCATACAAGCTTTGGAAATTTGAGCTCCTCAGCTGACAAACCTATATTAGCAGGTTCTTCATATCACCTTCTATTTCAATAGCCATTTCCGTTCCAAGCCTTACTTCCTATACTATAAAGTATACCCCATGCACAACAGACGAGTCTGGAATATTGCTTTCAAGTCTTTACATTTCAATATATAGTAAACAGTTCAGAACAATTGATGATAGCAATCCTGACTATGCCTTTAGTCAAACATTTGCATGAAGAACTGCACTTAACAGTCTAGCATGGCCCTCATATACTGGAAAATAATGCATAATCAAAAGTAAGAGATATAATAGTATATAAAAATATTCTAATGGTTATACACAAAAACAGATTTATAAATACTATATGTTAGATTAACATACTGTAGATTTACCTAGCCCAAATGTATTATTATAAACATTGGTTACTGCCTACTAATCAATAAATATGTAAGGCTGTAATTCTAAGCAACTATCTTATGAAAAGGTCCTACTGAATTCTAGGTAACACATAATGGATTGGATTGTTAGAGGCGATATGTTTAGTTCAAGTCAGAGGAGCATCAGTCTCCTATTGTGAAGTCTAGTAAACTAAGGATTCATAGAGCTGGGCCTTCCACCATCAGCCCAAGGCAGGTCCTTGTCACTAGGTGTTATGACTAAGATGGTCATTTGATAAGATGATCATGAATACACATATACTATGCATACATAAACCAAAATATTAAAACAAATACATGGGGAAATACATGGGAAGAAAGAACTGAACAGAAGCAAGAAAACCACCAGCTTTCTGTCAGGCACTACAGAATATAAAATATATAACAAAAGTCATGACTACCACAGCTTAATCCTGGATGGAGAAGCTGACTTGGTATCTATTAGGGAAACCTGGATGAAGGTAAGGATGAGTGAATCTGTCAATTTTGTTTTCTCCTGCATTTGATTTTTTAAAAAAATTCATATTAGGTAAATTCTTATCAAAAATGAAATGAAATTCTCATCCATCTTCACCCACTGAATTCAACACAATTTCCATCATGACATCCCTGGCTATCTGAAAAAAGAGGCAACAATTCCAATTAAGCACCAACATGATTGAATTCAAATTCTGAAGCCCAGACTTCTAAGTGCTAAATGCACAGAGCTGTGTGCTAGATAAATTCCAGCATTGTTCATCACGGGAAGTGGTATTGCCATGAACTAATCTGATGCACTATTTTGCTATCCTCCAGATTGTTGGGGTGGCCAGCATTCAAAGTAACAAGGCCAGAATAGAGATTCTGCTGTTCACCTAACCTAACCTAACCTAACCTAACCTAACCTAAACTAACCTAACCTAACTGTATGCCAAAAACAATGGGAGGACTAAAATCCAATAGATTTTCTGAACTTGGCCCCATGGATTCTATTCTATGAAACACATTCTGGTGTGGTCATGTGAACTCTCTCTCTCTCTCTCCCTCTCCCTCCCTCTCTAGTAATGAGCCATGTTCCAATGCCTTTCACTAAGGGTCAGATCCTATAGTTACTTATCCAGCAGTAAGTCTCATTAAACTAAGGAAATACTATTTCTGAGTAGACATGTACAGTTTTCCATTGAAAATCTCATATAAAATAGCAGAATAATTGTAGTTTGCTGCCAGGACTAGTAGAAATAAAATTCTTTCTTAATCAAAAGTACTAAATTAAGCTTGCTAGCTAGATAGACACAGTAACACATCTTTATACTGCAGTGTTACTTATGTTAGCCGCTACTCATTACTAACAGGAATTGTCTAAAATCTTAGAGAAACACTCTTATTTACTTACATAGAATTTTATATATTGAACAGATGTTTCCTGATAGAGGATGGGTTGGTAATGAAAATGTCTTTTGCATGTAAAATTGCAATCTCAAATAAACAAATAGCTTCCTTTTTTCTGGTTCAAAACTGCTTAACTACACAACTATAATTCTGAAGCTTTTTGGTCTCAGAAAGAGAGAGAGACAGAGACAGAGAGAGAGAAAGAGAGAGAGAGAGAGAGAGTTGGAGTTGGAGTTGGAGTTGGAGTTGGGGGGGGCTGTTTTGATTTGGTTTTTTTTTTTTTTTTTTGGCCTCAAAGTGCTTGACTCTGGTCATCCTACCACCTGCTCATTTGACCATCATGGATCATCTGAAAAACCATGGATCATTAGAGATTTACCCTTGGGACCACCCTTTTCTTGGTTTTACTGACTGAACTTCTTCTTTAAAAAAATGGCAGGTGTTGGATGGAACCAACCTAGAGATTCTAAATTCTAAGTCAATGTTCAACTAAAAATAACTCTTAAATTCCAGTAAGATAAATGACTGGTTTTGCTCTCAGAAATGACTTGGCAGCACACAACAACAACAACTCATTTGAATAAATCTTAGTCAGAAATGGGTATTTAATGAACCACCTTTAGTATTATCATTTATTTTATGGAAAGGTGGGGTACAAATAAAAAACAAGCAAGCAAACAAACCTGAATGCTATGAAAAGGATAATCTGATTGTTTTAAACACATTAATATTTTAACCCTGCTAATCATATTTCAATAAGTATACAATCCTAAAAAAGGCATGAGGGATATGTGGCCTTTTAGATATTGCTGGACCAACTCCTAGTAGGCAGGATAACTAATAATGAGGTATTCATATTAAAAGGCTGTTCATTCCCAATCCCTACTATAAACACTTACCTGAGAATAAGAACTATTAGAATCAGCTCAAACACATGCTTTGCCCTGCAGGATGTAGTTCAGGTATGCTGTTTGTACCCAAGTGCAATTGCAGTCATGTGTTCCCCAACAACTATGTACATAGTTTGTGTACACAGCCCCCACCAGACTGTGTGCATAGTCTACTAGCTTTAAATTTCATGGATTTATTATTTATTTTTACTTTTATATACCGTCCTCACGTGCCTTGGCATCTCAGGACAGCTTACAAACATTTATCTAACACACTTTTAGATTTATCTAACACACTTTTAAGGCCATCCAAATGGATAGCCCCTATGCATTTCATGGAGGTGAATTTCATAATCTAGACGTAGAACAGGGGTCTGTCTCCTCCACATTACCATCGGTTCTGATAGATTCATCTGATTCTAAAAAGGAGGTAGACAGTTTCAGATAGAGGAATTGACAGTTTCAAGGTTACCCAGTGAAGACTGTCAAACAGAGCATGAGAATCTGGCTGTCTTGGTAAGGGTGGAATATTTTTCAGGACAGAAGGAGGAACACATGACAGGTGACAGCAGGAGAAATGAGCAGCCTGATCCCTAGTTTCCTGTGTTCCTGCCATCTAGCCCTCAAGCAGCAAAAGCCACCCTGTGGGTGGAGACAGAAGCTTTACTGAAAGGGAGGGATGGAACTGTTTCCATGGACAGGTGCTTTTCCCATCTCTCTAGTAGAAGGCTTCTTTGATTTAGACTGTTATGTGAACAGACACGTTTCAGCAAGAGCTATTCTTCTATGGATTTGTTTTGAGTTTGGTAAAGAGAAGAAAAGAGAGAGGTAACTTCTTCACAGCACCAGTTATGTGTGAAGAAGTACTTGCTTTTTTCATGTCTTGACAATAGTATATGCATAGTAATGAAATCATCATTCAGCTCTCCATATTTGTTATAAAACCGTCTCACACATTTAATGCTAAGTGCCCAATCAAATGGCTTCATTAAAACCTGTGACACCTTTGAATGGTTCTTGACACATTATGTAAGAGCTGTGTGTTAAAAACACATGCACAAGGGGTTGACAGAAGAAAGACCTCTTGATGTTTTGTATGTTTAAACTCCTGTCAGGGTAGGCAATTATCAAGAAAGCTGGGAGTCCAAAACACCAGGGAATTTATTTTTTCTCATCCTTCATTTTTACCAGGTGAAATCAGAAACCAGGCAACAGGTTCTGATCAGTTGCAGAACCTATATGAGAGTATCAGCATTATGCATTTACTGGTTCCTTGCATCATTATATGCAATCCTAGAAGCTTATTGTTGCCACTACAGCTCATAATTGGGTTGCTAATCAAAATGCGTGTTTTTATGTATTTATTTATCTATATTTTTGTATACCATTCACTCAGCTGTGCTGGCTCTCTTTACATAGTTAATGCCAGAATCAATA